GTCGCTGCTTTAGATACAGTTTTGTCGTTAAGGATTTGGACATAAACTGACTTTCCAACTTCCTCCAAATTTCGTCTGGAGACGATAGATGCATGACGTGATACATAACCTCATCCGCCAAGCATAATCGTATGGTTCCTGCCGCTCGTTGTTGCAATTCTTCCCAATCTTCCTCCTCCATCGACGCCGGCTTTATAGGTCGCAAAGCCTTCAGGATCCCCTGCTATGCCAACAGATCATTCACCCTCGTTTGCCATAATCCGAAGTTACCCAGACCATCGAATTTCGCAACTTCGAATTTTTCTCCTGACATCTGATACTAATTGTTGATAAATCGGGCAAAGTAAACGAAAGAACACAAGAATTTTAACGAGGTTCGGCAATGTGCTTACGTCCTCGGTGCCTAGGCGGCGCTAGAAAATTTTTTATTCAATGATAATAGGTTTAGGTTGCATCTCTATTTATAATAGAAAACTCTGGTACATAATTACAAAATTAACCCTGTACCGTACCGCGGGGCGCAGCCCCCGCACCCCCAACCCACATAATCGTAACCCCCTCTACAAGACTTTCTTTGTAAGGACAGTTGATGTTCGCTTCACTCACTCCGCTCCATCCCCTGTCCTCTTTACCGGTATATTTATGAGCCATACCTTACATATCTACTGTCATTGAAGGTGACCGTTTGATATGAAAATTCATGGATTGGATAGTCTCGACCCCTGAGTCTAAATCTAATGATTTTTTCATAGTAAATTGTCCCAAAATTTGTGAATTCACTTAAACATTCTGACTTCCTCACATTTAATCTCTAATTTGTAGATTTCGGAGCAAGTTTCGACAAAATGGAAGTTAAATTCAGACTAAGGGTTGAAGCGAAACTAATCATGAAATTTATGAAAATCCTTCTCTGAAATCATTAGTCGTGTTTTTTGTCAAAGAAAGATATAATCAATTAGGGTTTATTAGTCTTGTTCGATTAATCGGAAGAAACCGAGAGAGATGGATTCAAATGGTAAGAAGAAAAACAACCCAAAAAATAGGTATACCTTGAGATTGAGTTTCTTGGTGTTGATTAGCATGATGAAATTGAACAAGTAGTGGATTGTTACTGTATGCAAACTCGAGCTAGGGCCTAAACCATGGCGTCGGTTTCTTGTTGAGACCTAGCCATGTAGAACCGATGATATGCAGCAGCAGCTCCCTCTTTTTGCTCCGATTCATGATCGGACGGCAGCAGCCTCTTCCCTCGTCGTCGATCCTCCTTTTAAATCTTTTGACGATTCCCTTATTATTTTCTATCATGAAAAACGGAAAACAAATAAGGCAAAGATATATATATATATATATATATATATATATATATATAGAGAGAGAGAGAGAGAGATTTTCTCAAAGAACCCCAAAGGAATCAGAACAGAGAAGAAGATTATGAAGGTAAAACGAGAGGCAAATTGTTACAGATAAAACATCTGCTTAAGACTGAAGTGTGAACAAAAGGATGAAGTAGCTGAAAATGCTGAAAACCCTAAATAAATAAATATTCTTTCTCTTTTATTTAATTTATTTTCTTTATATATAAATTCTCTAAAATAATCCAAACCACATTTTGTAGATTTTTTCTCCTTTCTCAACTAATAATTTATTTTGGCAATTTTTAATAACCATTCACAATTTATAGTTTTTATCCTTTTATTTTCAAGTAAATTTTGTAAAAATAAATAGAATTTATTATATGATCATTACTTGATAAAGAAGGCCTTTATCCCGAAAAATCACTTTTTTTATTTAATATTTTCGATCAGGCACCGTTCAGATTATATTTTTTGATCTAACACTCTTTGCAAGAAGGCACACCACTATACCGTGCTTTTCGCCACGTGGTCGAAGGCACCCCCGGGGGTGCCTTACCAAATGTGTAAAAAATTCGGGTGTTAATTTTATAAATATTTTTAAACGGATGTCAAATACATCATTAATTTCTATTATGGTGACATTTGTGTAAAAATGTCAGCATTTTGAATTTACAGACACTCACACTTCACATTTCATCGCTGGGTCTTATCACAAGTTAATAAAGTGAGCAGTGTGTATAGTGGTTGAGTTTATTAGTATTTTAGTATCACAAGTTTATTTTTTATAATAATAAATTTTTTATACTTTTAAAAATTATAAATTTCATATATTTTGAAAAAAAAAATTCTTTTAAAATTAATTGTTTAAAAATATAAAAATAAACTTTTAATTATAATTAAGGGATCAAATGAATTATTATTCATTAATTTTTAATTTTTAACAACAGTTAATAATGTTTATTCATTTTTAATAAAATTATTTTGATTTTTGCATTAAAATTACACAATACGTATAATCTAGTATAGGAAAACTTTGAGGGTAAGTTTTTTAAAATATGAATAATTTTATAAAAGTTTTATAACTAGTATTTCTTTTACAAAATGATGATGATGATGATAATAAATATTTTATAATTTTAAAAATTATAAATTTTATATATTTTTGAAAAAATTATTACCATTTAAATTTAATTGTTTAAAAATATAAAAAATATTAAAATAAACTTTTAATTACAATTGAGGGATCAAATGAATTATTATTCAATACTTTTTTTCAAAATATATGAAATTTATAATTTTTAAAATTATAAAAAATAAACTTGTGACACTAAAATAATAAACTCAACCACTACACATACTGTCCACTTCATTAAAACCCCAGCCAGTTTACAACCTGGAACCGTGCGATGTGTTTGCACAATTCAAAATGATGACGTTTTTACACAAATATCACTATAATAGAAATTAATGAAGTATTTGATACTCGTTTCAAAATATTTACAAAACTAACATCCGATTTTTTACACATTTGGTAAGACGCCTCCCGGGGCGCGCCTTCGACCATGTGGCGTAAACACAGTGCAGGGGGCTCGCCTTCCTGCAAAATGTGTTAAATCGGGAAATATAATCTGAACGGTGCCTGACAGAGAAATATATAGGGTTAGGGTGATATTTCGGGAGAAACACTGATAAAGAAAGGTGGGTAGTATTATGTAATTAAATATTTATTATATGCTTTTACTTGGTATTGAACCTAAAATTTGTGTAAGTGATTTGCATGAACATAAAATACTAGCTATAATGATTGAATTGGAAAATCTTCAAGGATAAGAAGTTTGATATCGTTTAAGTAAGATCTCAGGTTCGAGTCTTTGTGTATGTAGAAAATCTCTGCTGGAAGACTTACCCATCAAAACCAAGTGTACGACCCGGATCAGTCTAAATTAATCAAGGTAAAACCAAATGTACGTAGAAAATATATGTTGAAAGATTCACCCATAAAAAATTGGAAAAATATAAACATGTCATGAAACATTTGTTTATTTTTTTTTCCTCTTCTTTTATATTATTTTATTTTGTTCTTAAACAAGAGTTTTATTTTCTTTGAACTATTAGGTTTCCTTACTAAGTGGATGGGTTGGCTACTTGGGTTTCTCTTAAAAGATAAACATGCACATTATTTATTTATTTTTTAATAGTCTAAAATATTATAAAATAATATCTATTTAAATTTTTTATTAATTTTTTTTTATTTTACAGTGTTGAGATAACCTTTAATTTTTTAGTATCTTAAGTGAAGTGCCTCGAGTGAAAGCCCATGCAAAACGTAAATATTTATACAAAAGATTTTAACCCCTAGCCTATTGGATATAGGTCACCACTTTACAAGTATGACACCACTGGAACTAAATAGGTTAATTTGTGAAATTATTAAATATATTAATAAAAATACGTATTAAAGAGTTTTTTTAAAAAAAACACTTGGTCAATTTTCTTTTCTCCAAATGGGGTTGATAGGAATTGACCTGCAATAATGTGGAATTTGTATTATTCTATATTCAGCCAACATTAAGATAGAACTTAGGCCCACTCCTCAAAGTCTCCTCTTTATTATACTTCAAATACGTTTCAAACTTACATTTCTTTCTAAACTACTAGAACTTGCATATAATATTAGGCTTAAGTATAAAATAATTAACCCAACTATACCTAATTTATCGAGAGGTGTCTAAAATATTTTTCGATCCATACAGGTGTCTAACGTTACAAATATTATAAATTTAGGTGTCCAGATCGTCAACGACGCTAATTTCTTCAGTTAAGTGACATGTGTCACAATCTAGTAATTTTAATTTTTTTTTAAAAAATTTAAAAATATTTTTATTTACAAAAAAAAAACTAAATTCTCTTAAATTATAAAATAGTCCCCCAAGTCCCCAAAATCTAACCTTAATCCATCATCGCGACCCTTTTTGACCACAATCACCACTGCCGACATAATCCCTACCATCTTCCTAGTCTTACGCCATCATATTTGTTGCCATTTGGTCGTAAGAATAGCGTGAGATTACAATTTTCAACCTAGGATTCAAGAGGTGTAAAACATTAATTCGTTGTTGATCAACCACGATTGCATAGGGATTTGATCACCGAGAGGAGGTGAGATCAGGTGAGACTTCGTCGACGGGAAAAGACGGTGGCCGACAAAGGTTTTGGGGGTTGATATAAAAAAAATTTAAGTTTTAGATTTATTTTGAAAATTCTACGTCATATTTTTAAAAGACATATTTTTTTTAATTTATACAAAAATTTTAAAATTATCAGATTATGACACGTGTCACTTAACATAAGAAAGTAATACCGTTGACGATCTGAGCACTTAAAATGATAACATTTGTAATGTTAGACACATGAATTAACCGAAAAATACTTTAGGCACCTATTCGTGAAAATAGGTATAGTTTAAGCACTTATTTTATAATTAAATCATAATATTAAGATGTCTTTTATATATATATATATATATATAAAAGAAAAACTATCATCTTAAAAAAACGAGCAGAGTATCGACCATAAGAAAAAATGGAGATGATGATGAAATAGTGACAAAAATCTTAGATTTATACCTCACTCAGTGAGCTGATTTGGAGTGTGAAGCCAGGCAAGGACTGTCGTACGGTTTATCGAAAAAAGTAAAAATAACTTTGATATGCACAACATTGATTGAAACCTAACTGTTTGGTTTAATCTCTCTGCTTCGCATGTAGGTTAAAAATTGAGCTGGTAATTCCGCCAGAAGTGATTGAACAACAGAAGTCCCTTCGTCTGCAAGTGAAAAATGATTGTTATATTCCCGACTTCGGAACATTTCGGAAGCATCGGAGTGTGTTGTGGATGACTTACTCTGTACATCCCTAAACGGAACGAATTGAACAATGTCACGGGAGGCAACCCGTCCGGTTGAGCTTTCCAGTCTCTCCCCTTTGTCTGCATCTAAAATCTGTAAACAATAAGACTCCATACTTAATAAACCGATTAAACTTGCGAAGAGATCATTCTTCGCTCGAATGGATGTAAACACTAAATTGGGATGTTAAGTAATAAGTACCTCCATTTCTTTGAAGTCGGCTCCTCCAACACCAACGATGAGAATCGACAATGGGAGATCCGACGCTTTTACGAGGGCATCTTTGGTTTCTTGGAGATCAGTTACTACTCCATCCTAGAGCAACATTAACAAAGACCAGAAGCGGCCGCAAAGTTAACAGCCTTTTTTATTCAATAATAGAAAACCCTATCGTTACGAGAAAGGAAAACAAAAATTAATTTCTGCTACATTAATATTTATACATGAATGCACAACTGTTTATAGAACTTTGGTCGGCTGCTAGGAAAAGCCATCCCTTTCTTCATCTTCTTTTTTATAACTTACCGTGATTATTAACAAAACAAAGTATTTTTTAGCATCATTAGCCAGGGATTGACTGGCAATCATTGCAGCTCGATTAATCACATGCCCAAACAGCGTCGGTCCTGCAAGAGAGACATTAAAAAGGGCACTGGTATAGGCCATCATAATTCCTCGGATTCCTTCAACCTGGAGATAATGATATTTGGTCAATATTGAGGAAGGGAATACGGGATAAAAGAATATAAGATACAGAAATTAGATTGCTGCTCGCAGCTGCTTACCTCACAGTAGTTACTGCTTCCATTCAAGTTGAAACAATGAGAAACTGGACCATCAATGGGACGTGCTCCGAATCCCCAAGCGGGAAAGCGCTTGTCTGCATCATAAAACTGCAATACCTCTCCAACCTCATAGATTGCCTGGTTTAAAAGATGCATAAGATTTTCTTGGGTAAATGAACAAAAGAAAGAAAAGGAAACTATGATTCATTTCTTACTTTCTGGTATGCATTCGGCCGTCCTGATGGATCAATATAATGCAAGGAATCAGGGAGACGGGGATTTCCATTTGAAGCTGATAGACCAGAATTAACATTAAAAAAAAATAATGATAATAGGAATGTGTTATGGTACTTCTACAGAACTGCACATGCAGCATGATGCTTTCCACATTCATCCGTATGACTTCAACAGTTTCATATTTATATGGGTAAATCCTAAGGTCTTAAGATGCAGAACTGTAGCAGCATCCAAACCAAAGACCTAATACTTACAGCGTATTTTAGCTGCTTCATCCTAAATTTTTTGTTAAACTAGGGAGGAAATAGAAACGGGAGAGAAATCAGGAGGCATAATAGCAGAACTGGTTCTTACAAACTGTTCGTTTAACTAACTAAACTGTTTTCTCCCAAAAAGTTCACTGTAGTTCAGCTTTTATGTTCATATCGGTCCCTTGATTAACTTTGTTATAGATGCGACATGTTTCATTGTCAAGTTAATAAGAAAAGACAGAAGAAGAGTCATCAGTAACAGTTTACATAAAGGATTGCAATTGGCATAATTTTAGTGGGCCTAAGATCAATTGTGCGAGTAAACAGGAAAGTACCAGTGAAATCAACAGCCACCATAAAGTTCAGCTCAAAACCTCCAGCTAGGTAATCCAGGAATGTATATTGGATTATCTCAGAATATTTTTCCACAAAAAGCTTGCTTTTTAAAACCTACACGACAGTTAGCAAATTAGAAAAAAAAAGTTGAATACAAAGTTCAATACGCAATTAAATTCAGTTCAATTATTTAAACCTTGTTCTGGTTATCATGCCCAACCAGATTTGGCAAAAAAAAAATTTCTTCTCTTCCAGAATGGAGCTTTTCCAAATCTGCTAGTGACTTCTGCACTTTTCTGGTAAAACCAAAAAACGAAGCTACATTATCAAGTGTCTAAAGGAAAAGCAACATAAGAAAGTAAGATCAACAATTACCCGATCAGTTCGTGCTTGCCATTGCTGTTGAAGTCAAAGCACTCAATCACTAATGGACTATCCTGTAAATTCATTTTAAAAAATGAAAATGCAGGAAATAATCAAGTAACAAAAACTGTAAAGGGTCACTTATAGAAATGCTCAACGTCAATGATGAAAACATCATCACATGTTAAGATGTAAAGGAAAAATGGTTGTTTTCCGGTAAGGCAAGACTGGACAAGATCAGCCTTGCAATGCTATGTAACGAATTCAAGAACAGAAGATCTTGGTAAAAGTATGAATAAAACTTGCTATACCTTGCTTCCGATTTGTTGAATATTTAAAAACACAGGCTTCCATGTTGGGTTGAGGTCATTCTTTAAGACTTCAGTTTTACATACAGGAATAGAAATCCCACTCTCAACGACTTTTGATATTACCAAAAAGGGATCCTGCAGGAGAAGTCCAGAAGTGAACCAAATCACAACTAACATTCCTAATAAAATATGACAGCAAGAAAAATTGAAATCAGCAATGCATACACATTTTGAGAAAAGATCCTTAGATTCCAAATTTAAACATTTTAATGTCATCTCTGCTGTAGTCTTTGAGCTAAAGCATTCCTCAGCATGCACAGTAAGCTTTCCACGGTGTTGGGAATGGATTGATGGGACAGATTCCTCCCTTTGTACAAGATCCAAGGTTAATGACCTGTTTCGTTTGCTTACAATCTGTAAGACAGAAATGATTATTTGATGAATACTATATTGGAATATTAATTTAACTAAGTGAAACAGCAAGTGAAGAACCCTAGATTTTATTTTAAATCCAAGTATTTTCAAAAGTAAGGCGTTCCATTTTATAAGATCTTTCAATTCAAATACCCAGGTTAACAGGGAGAGGCTCTAGATAAGGAAACAAAACTAAAAAGATACTCGTGTATACCTCTGACAATGCACAACTTGCCTCACCAATATATTGCTGCTCCTCCAGCTTAAGCATCTGTGAAGTGAAAGCATCAGCAACAAATTTCATGCTTGTATGCTCTGTTATGAAGGTAATATTATGAGGAGAAATTGTTATAATTGTTAACAATGTCAAATCATATTTCCAAATAACAGAAATGTAAAATAAGTATGGTATTAAACTACTTCAGAGAAAACAAAACAAATCCTAAACAACTAGAACAAAGAAAAATACCATATATACAGTATACATATTCCCATAGAGTTCATCAGTTTCTAAACTGAACTCTTTAAAAAGGGCAGCAAAATGTGAGGGAGGGACAAGAAAAGGTAGCATTAATCAAAGATACCTTTACTGCAACATTATGAAATTGAGTGTCAACATCAAAGACACGAAACCTGAGATAATGGAAAATCAAAAAAAGTTAAATTACAGCGAAAAAATCATTATTTTGCTGAACCCAAAACAATAGTTCAAAGACTAGATCTTACAGCAAGATTTGGACAATCTCAAATTGATAAGTAATTGTATACTTTGTGATCCAAGTAGGATTCAATGAATTGAGCACTACTTCGGTACGAAATACTTCTGTAAAAGCTCCATTTCTTTCTTGAATATAAACCACCACCATAGGATCACTCTAAAGCAAACAAAACTTATGAGATATCAAGCTAAGTTTTCTGCAACAAAAATACAATTCTCATGACCAAAGAATAAATCATGAAAGTAAAGTACGTAAATATTATTAGTTGATACAAAAATGGCAACTGAAAATATTGTATCAGGCCAACTAAGCCTTTGCTTGGTCAGTTTGGATATGGGAGTTCTTTAAGTATTTAAAGTATTTGACGAGTTCCTAGCATATTTCATCCTTGAAACATAGTATGATACATAATTTTCTGTCACACTACTACTCTTAACAGCAAATACTTTTCCCCATGGTCCGTACAATATGACTTCTCACCTTCCATTCTCCATTTCCTACTCCTCAAACCTCGTTTCATAATTCCACTTACACAAAGGCATCATTAAGTCACCGTGCACCAGAAAAGATCCTCCAGAAATTCTAATTCCAGCTATCAACCAATACTACATTGTGTTGCCCCTTAAGCTTAGAGCTTTTTTCACCATAATTTTGATTTCAACAACAAACTCAAGTATAGTACAGCAGAATTAAGACACTAAATTTCTTAACTAAATAGTTGCTTGTAGCTCTAGGGTCAGTTTAGCAGTATATTCATACACATGCATACCTTGGAGAAGACATCCCGGTCTCGCAAATTTGTAGCAGAAAACGATAACTGCACAACATCGATTTTGCACAGAATTGTCAATGCAACAGAAGAGAGTTTGTAAATAAAATTAACAAAATTCTTAAAGTTTAGAGAACATGAATCAGAAACCAGATCATCCATTCAAGCACTGATAGAAATCAAGGACACCAATTTTAAATACTAAATACCTAAAAATCCCCACTCCATGAAACAATTAGCCAACCACCCAGTTACAAAGTAAATCCAAATCGTTCATTCTAAGCAAGTTTTAGGCATTCTATTCATTATCCGCTGAAGTAACTGGAAAAAAGAAAAGACCTCGATCTGAGAGAAGAGGCCTTGTATGCCACGAGACTTGAAGTACCAGTCCGAAGCGTCGTTCTGATTGGTGGAGGAAGTGGAAGGGGCGGTGCCACCAACAGCCATCGTCCCGCCGCCGACGTCCGAGCAGCAATTCCCCATCACTAACTAAATACTTTACTGATTCTGTTCTTCAACCCGATAAACGATGCCAATGCATGAACCACAATCAAAAGTGAAATTATAAAGAGCAAGATGAATTATTTGCCTTTTAAAAAAATTGGAAAATAATAATTATGCAGACTAAAAAGTAAAATATTTTGTACTGAGCTCTCAAGTTCTCAGACAATATTAGGAAACAGGCAATTAGTCTTCCTTTTTTCTTTTTCCCAATTCACCAACAGAAACGCGTTTTTTCTTTCTTTCTTTCTTTCTTTCTGTTAGTTATAGCTAAAATATAATTAATTTTAATTATAAATAAATTTAAATATTAATTTTATATCAATAGTGTCATTAATTTTTAACAACCGAGGATCAGAGTAGAAAAAACATTAATGATTTATTTTTATCAAATAAATTGATAACTAAAATAAAAAATAATTACAGTTTATTGATCAATAAGATAATTTATTCTTTCAAACAATATATATATATATATATAATTTAATGCAATAATAATATAGAATACATGGAATTTAATTTTTTTTTATTCTTAGTAATCAACTTTGGAGGAAATTAAAAAAATATTTTAAATGATGATTAATTATGTTATCATCAAGCCTAGAATATTTTTCCTTTCTTAAAAACTGGACTGGAATTTGTTGCCAAAGCATCCAAAAGAAAACTTCCTTTTTAAGCTCAATATTGTTTAGGAAATAATCTAAACAAAGAACAACTTTTATGGAAGTTCATGTGAATCCAAGCTGAATGGAGGAAAACATGCCCGTTTCGGTTTGCAGGCTAATTATTTAGCCTAATAAAAAATAATTTTTATTTGGACTTTTCATTTTAATGTGATAAATTTAATAAAAAAAATATTTTATTAAAACTCATCACGTCGAGACGTCGAGTTCCACGTATACGGTAACATTTGACTTGCAAAAATAAAAGAGTGAACGTGACCTATTAGACTAAATAATTATTTTCATGTCTTAGGGCCAAAAAAACCGGGAAAACATGTTTCACTAAAGCCCATGTTTTTTGACTCGTATAATTTAAATACCCATGGGTCTCACAAAGCCCACAATTCTTCCTTCTTTTAGTTAAGTTTGTATATGTCCGGTTGGATTTTCTGTCTACCCGATTCGACTCAAAATTTTTAAATCCTTCATCTGACCCGAACCCAACCTAAAAATATACCCCTTCCATCCGGCCCGACTTAGATTTAATTTTTTGAGATAAAATTCGAACCCAACTTCACCCAAAATAATATCTTTATTAAAAAATTATTCAATAAAAATAGGAATTTAATTGAAATAAAATAATATATAAAGGGATATTATTGCAACTATCCCTAAATACATAAGATAAATTTTTAATTTTTTCAGTCAGGTCAAGTATTTTTCATCCTAAACCTGAATCCAATAAATTTTAAAAAAATCCGACTCAATCAATTCAAATCAAGTTGAAACCCATCATATTCGATTCTGTGCCCGTCCCTGAGTATATGCAAACACTACGTGGTTTTGACATCATCGTATGACTTCAAACTATTCATTTGCTATGATAAAAAAAAACTATTCATTTGTTCTTTTTCATTATTTTTGGGTAAAGTACAAAAATAATCTTATGATTATAAGGTATTATTTTATTAAGTCTTTCGACTGTAAAAAATTATGAAATAGTTCTTTGACTACAGAGTGTTACTTTGCTAAGTCGTTTGACTGTTAAAAGTTACAGAATGGTCACATGACTACTCATATATTCTAAACTCGTTATTTTTCATTAAAAAATTGATGATATTATAAGTTGAACGTCAACATACTGACTGTGATATATAAAATATGATATCAGAATCACAAACAACTATTATATGCCAATCATCATGTTAACGTTCAGCTCAAACGACTAACATTATTTTAATGGAAAAGGACGATTTTGAAACATAATGAATAGTCGAGTGACCATTGTATAACTTTTAATAGTCAAATGACTTAATAAAGTAATAATCTATATTCGGAGGACCATTTATATATTTTACTCTTAAATTTTAAATCATGAGTGGATATCGAGGATGAAATCCATGTTTGAATGCATCTTAAAATTAAGGATGGATCCATAAACTCGTAAGTCGTAACTAACATCATTTTTTAATTAAACAAATAGTTATAATCTTCGAACAATTATTTACACCAAATAAGATCTCAATCTCCCCTCTCTTTAACCCCAATAATAATAATAATAATAATAATAATAATAATAATAATAATAATAATAATAATAATAATAATAATAATAATAATGATAATAATAATAAATTACACATTAAATACTTAAACTATTAGTTTTGACATATTCTAGTATATAAATTTTTATTTTTTAAAAACATATCTAACGTTTAGTTTTTTTTTTCATTTTAGCACCCATTGTTAAAAACTTAACGCATTTAGTACCTAAAATATTAATTTTGGCTCGTTTTAGCACCTAAACTTTTAGTTTTCTAAAAAAAACTTAACATTAAATTTTGAACAGATGTAATAAAATGAAACAAAAACTAAAATTAAGGTATGATTTTAAAAAAAATAAAAATTTTAAATACTAAAAAGATCAAAAATGATAATTTATGTGCTAAACGTATAATTTATCCGATAATAATAAAGACACTCCACTATTTTCCTTTTTCCTTTCCTTTATCAAAGGAAAAAAAGGGTAGGGCAGAAGCTAAGCTAAATAATTTAGGAATGTGTAGTTTGATAGGGAGACTATCTAGCTCAGTTGGTAGAGCACAAGGTTCTTAATCTTGAGGTCGTGGGATCGAGTCCCACGGAGGGCATTTCATAATTCGGAGGTCTTCTACGGAAGCTGCTCTCAACCTGGTGTTGAGGACAGTCTACTATCTTACCTCTCCTTACCCCATTACATATGGGAACAAGGGACATCCATTTAGTTTGATAGGGAGAAAAGTGTCACCAATTGAGCCATAGCGAGCAAGTTATACGTTATGAGGGTGTGGTCCAATTTGGTCACATGGTTCCAATTATACCATGACTATGATTTCTTTTCCTTTTTCTTTTTTGGTTCGAAAGGAAATATCTTGTGTGTATGTGTGTGTGGGGGGGGGGGGGGTCCGATATTCTCCGCCAAACATTATGTGTTGCTTTTAATGATAACAAACATGAGTGAAACTTTCATGCTCCATGGTCTAGGTTTTTTTTATAAAGGTAGTGGGTCAAATTACTCAATAACCCAACTCTTCTTGGCCCATTAATGCTACAAATTATACAAGATATTATACTAATAATTCATATATTTTTCAATAATAAGCAAATAAAGAGTGGGACTCAGGGACAATTGGTCGGGTTAAGGTTTGGTTTTTGGTCAACTTGAGAACTAACCTGACTCGAAAATATATATCATTCACTTGATTTCGGCTTGATTTTATTTTTTTAGAATATAAATCCGACCTGACCCAATCTGACAAATAATATAAATTAAAGATTTAATTTAAAACAATAACTTTTTAAAATAAATTACATTATTATCATCTGGTCGAGTTGAGTCGGAATTTTTTCACCCTCCACTCTAACCCGACTTGACCTCACCTCTTAAAAAATCCAACCCGACCTAACTTGAACGATAATTCTTTTTTTTTAATATGATTGTATCAAATTTGATCGGATCGAAACCCGTCAAATTCGTGTTAAAATTACGGTCCCTATACTTCACACGTCTTGAAAAAGTTTGGAGTACATTAAACAAATAATGTACTTAAAATTATAATGTAGGAGGTTTAAGGTTTATAATCGGAATGTTACCGAAAATAATCATTCGACTTATAATCGAAAATATTATTTAATTTTAAATTTGTGTTATTAATAGATATTATATTAAAAATTTGTATTTTAAAATTTCGAGGGAGCAGCCATCGTGTGATTATGGAGGAAACTGTTGGCTCACCACGCATGCCTTCCAACGTGATGGGAATTGGGAAAAGGGGGCTTCACATTCAATACGAGCTTTTAGTGTCGTGTTGGATCAACTTTCTTGGAAACAAGTGAGAAACTATTCATAGAAACACAGCAAACAAACAAAGTAACAAATCCACAAACGCTGAACCGTTCAACTCGTGCTCAGGGATGGAGCCCTGTATTGACCGACCCATTATATATCTATCAAACGAGTATTGTTTATTTTTCAGAATCATTAACATTCGATTAATTAATTAATTAATTCAAATTAATGTTATAAATTAATTTTTAATTTGATTTTCTTTATTCATAATAAATATAATATAAAATTTTAAATTTATTTAAAGATTTTTATAACCCAACCTACTATAACAATCAATTGTTAACGGGTTTTTTTTAATAATAATAAAGAGATAAAATATCTGAGATAAAATATCTATTGATGTGTAAGAACTTTTAAATTTTACACATTTTTTTAATCATTAAATGAATAAAAATAAAATTTTGAGATTATTAATAATAAATTAAGATAATTTTATGACAACAAATCATCTTTAATATTAATTATTAAATTTAAGGATAAAGTACATAAATGGTCATTGACTACAACGTACTACTTTATCACGTCCATTAATTATTAAAAGCTACAAAATGATCATTCGATTATAGAATGTTGCTTTATTAAGTCTCTTGACTATTAGAAGTTACAAAATAGTCACACGACTATTCATTATGTTCTAAAATCATATCTTTTCGTTAAAAAAATGGTAGTTTCTAAATTGGACGTTAACGTGATAATTGAGATGTGATAGTCGTTTGAGATTCTAGGATCATATTTTATCAAATCACATTAAGTAAGTTAACGATAAACGTAGAATACTGTCATTTTTTTACAAAGGCAATTGATTTTTTTAATAAAAATGAAAGAAACAAAATTACAACGCATCATAAGAGAAAATTGGAAATAACAGTCACCAAAAACTCATACATAAAATAAAAATATTAAACTTAAATATACGAAGAGACAGAAACATTCTAAACATCAAAACAACACAATAACCTTCATAAAACTCATTTTCTCTATCTAACGAGACACTTTACAATGTGATAAAAGAGTGGTGAGCGAACCAAACGATTTGGTAGATTGCTTCGCTATACAATTATGATTATATCGACAAATGACCTTTACAAAAAAAAGGGATCTGATAATATTTGACCACCGACAAGCCAATCAGAAAATAAATGGCGTGAGGATGTTTATGGAAGCACCAACATGACCGCAGTAGTATGCGAAAAACTTACCGAAAACCATAAAGAACGTGCCACAAGAGCGGATAAAAAGCGTGACACAAGAACAAAGAAAAGTTTGTCACAGTGATAGAGATTTTTATTTAAAATTGAAAAAAAATCAAGAAAAAAAAAACAAATACATAACATGAAAAAGAACAAGAAAAATAATAATCACAGGGCGGTCGACTGCCAACTAAACAAAACACGAATACTGTCAAATTTTTAACGAAAAATTATGAGTTTGGAACATAATAAATAGTCGAGTTACCATTTTGTTACCTTTAATAGTAAATGAACTCAACAAAGTAACACTTTATAGTAATATGATGATTTTCTAACTTTGAATAATCAAGGAACCTAATGAATCAGTACCCTATAGTCGATGGATCATTTTGTGGATTTTGACCCTAAATCTAATTATCTAAAAAAATATATTATTTTTACATTTTAAACTATATAAACAAAACTTAACCTATAATAATAATAATAATAATAATAATAATAATAATTAATAATAATAATAATGAATAGTTTGTTGTTGAAATTCCAAGCAATGGTTTCCTAAATTGTAGAACTGATTTTATCCAAAACATGGCCAACATTATCTCCAAAGGGTGCTTCCATTGATAAGGTTCCAAAAGATTTTGTCTCCTTGGAGATGACCCCTCTATTTTATTTTATTTTTTTTGAAAGGATGACTTGAACCAAAAGAAATTCAATCGCTCATCTAACGTTAATAATGGTAATTAATTAAACTAATCAAAATA